ACCAATAAACGTCGTATAAAAACAAACTTATTCTTGATGCCTTTACATATTATGGCGTTGTGCGACGGATACCTTGCTTATTTATCACGAAAATACTTAAACTAAAGATATTTTACTAAGTGAAGCAGAACTTTGAAGCTAATTGAACTATTTACGAGTATATTGAACTTGACATCGCTCAATATTTCTGTGTGTGAGGGAGCCTTTCTGTCCGACAATTACACCGTGAAAGCAGCGGCGGGAAGGCAATCTTCGTGACGAAGGCTCAGCTGTCTAGACAGACACTGAATCCGGCCGACCAATTGTACCAGGCCACGTTAATGGTTTCAGTGTATTAGTTGAAAAAAATTGTCTCGAGGAGACTGGGTATTGCGTCAGTCTTAGTAACGTACCATTCATTATATGAACGTACAAGCGATAATTACAGCTAATGCTGTCCTATAACTTTTCATTGGCTTGATTTTACAGCCGAACTTTTAAGCAAATCTGAAATAAGCATAAGAAAATGAAGAAAAACAAGTATAGAGACCAATTCTAATACATTATTCATTCTTCCCAGGTTTTCATGACTAGTTGGCCCGTGACCATGATCCACAACTACACAACCCACCCCTTTCTGACCGCTACACTCCCATCGGATCACATCCCCCTACACTCCCCCCCCCCCCTCATCACGATGACATTAGTGACATCCGGGGCCCGCCTGTGGAACTGCGTAGTAGCCAGCTGACCGCCGCCCGGCGAGGCGACCGCAGCGACCTCTACGGGCCGCCAGAGGGCAGCCGACCAGACCAGAGCCAAAGCCGCTCGACGAGAGCCAAAGTCGCCCCTAATGGCACTGCTGCCAGCCCGCAGGGGTCACGGATGGGCTAGAGCCGGTTACGGTCAGTTTGACTGAAACTCTGCCAAAAGGAAAGTCATGTGACTGATTGGAAAATTTAATTAATAATTTATAGCAAAGTGTCCCTCAAGAGGGTTACATGGTGCACCTACTGATAAAACTGATAAAAGAAGAGACGGCGTGTCTTCGAGGCCTACGCTTAATTTGAATTTTAACTGGAGCCCACTTCATACTTTTCCAATCAATGAGTGATAGTCAAATCTAAACATACGTCAAAGCAACAGCACAACAAACATTTCATTAACAAACTGAACGGAATAAATGGATCCTTTGCAACGAAGCCAACATGTTCGAGCCACCATGCCATGCGGGGGCAGCCACGCCGCCATTCCACCAGCCGTCTGAACTCTGCAGTGGGTGGGTGGGTGGGTGGGATCGATCCGCCCCCAAAGTGTCCCGGCCCTGCCCGGCGGTCGGTCGAGGGCCGGCGGCCGGCCCGGTCACCTCCAAACATTGATCAGAGCTCTGCGCGCCGCCCGGCGGAGGAGCGACCCCACGCACTCAAAGCCGTGCCTTCAGAGAGGAGAGCTCGTCCCGAGGTTTGGTCAAAGGTTTCATAAAAGAAGAAGGGAAGCGTAATTCGGTTAGGAAAAGAAAAAAATAAGGATTGGGCTTGTAACTAGGGTTTCAAGGGGAGATTGCAAACAAATACAGTATACCTGCCATGCGCAATTAAAACTCAAGAGTATGATTTTGAAAACAAGTAAGAAGTAAGCGAAATAGTACCGATCAATCCGAGAAAATACGAGAGGAGATAACTCCAAATCAATAATCTTTCATCCATCTTTTCTCATTTTCCTTCAATAACAGACGATCATCTTAAAATGAACCCTACTCCCAGCACAGCCGTATAAAACACCTGTTTTCCACCTGTTTTCCCCGCGAAGTCTCATATCCGCTTATTTCAATCCTCACTACCCTTGCCTTTTCTTTCCGCATACGCACCACGCACCATGTTTACATCAGCAGACACTGAAGGTGATCCCAGCACGTCGCGAGAGCACGCCGAGAACGACAAAAGCACGCCGCCAAGGGCGTAGCGAGGGCACGGCCTGCACGCCAGAGCATCGACCAAGGAACGCTGCCAACCAGGAAGCGTTCGTCTTCCCAAAGCCCTCTCGACCCCCCCCCCCCTCCCCCCCAATCAAAGACGTGAAGGTTGTACACACATACTGACATACGTACAGAAACGTACGCAGAACCTGTCAGGTTTTTCGAACACTTGTTTCCGCAAACACGCAAAGGAGTGGCCCAGGCAGACGTACTGACAGAAATACTCTGACACACGTGTAGCGAAGTACCTAGAAATGTCATAGGAATTGTCACAACTGCTAAGTCGTAATCGATCGCCTCTTCAGAAAGCCAGACGGAACGTGCAGTATAATAGTGTAGAAGCTCTCAGAAATGTCAGTAACACAAGTCCGGAATGAGGCAATGGCAAATAGCATGTTTCTTTTCCGACAGAGCTGTCGCGTGGGAAAAAGTAATGGGAGTAATATGTAGCGTAACGTGCTCTGGTATTTAGCGTGATACTGATACCGAGTGCGTCACACGTACTTTACGCAGTTATGTCGCTTGTAGCATGAACTACAGAAGTATGTGTAATTGTGTATTGATTGGGTGATATCTGCCTTTTTCTATAAGTGAATGTTAGAGCGCAAGTTGACAGAGTCCATCAAAGACACGTGATTCTTATGACGTAGTACGGCGTAATCAGTAATCACGATATCGCAACTTCTAAAAACACCAACAACGCAAGCTCATGAACTTCGTCCCGTCCTTGATGTAAATCAATCCTCTTATCGAGTGTACTGGTCACACCACCGTGGCGCCACGCCAAAGAGGTCACGCATCTACGCAGCAGCACGCACACACGCACAGTTGCCAATAATTTAGCGCAGCTCCGCGCAGCCGGCCACGCCCGTAGCCTAGGCCAACGTCCTGTCATGACGGGCCGCTTTACTGCGCAGAACCCCCGCCGGCGTGGGTGGGGAAGTAGGGGGGACGGAGAGGGGGGGGGGGGCGGTGGCAGCAGTGACACATGGGTATCGATTTGTAATGCCACATCGCTCATGCTGGACAGAACGAAATGTCGGACGTCTGCAATGAATAAAAGAGAAAGTCTTTGAAACTGAAAGGCTGCTAGTTTTCAGAACGACCTTGATCATCTTTGTAATGTTAAAGGTGATTTAATGGATGAAATGTGAAAAGTTGTCGTGGTCCTTCGCTGAACTACGATATAAAGCCAATTTAACGCCAAACTCTTGCTGTAAATTAACTTTGACAAGGAGCCGCTATAAATTCTGAACCTAAATTACAATCATGACACCGATTTGTCAAAGCAAGCCATTAACTAACGCAGACGAATGTCGCCGTCCAAGGACAAATTTAAACGACCCAAAACCAGCCGCTCATGCCACATTTCAAACTTCAGTTCATAAAACACCAACTCTGGTCTTCAATATTCCCGAATCAGCATATCCAATTTTTAGGTCGATCAGGCTGTATTACAGACAGGTCATGACCTTCATGGTCATGTCATATTAGCGTCAGCGATTACGGTGGTGTCAATGCCCTGACCTGTTTGATTTGTCTGGCAAAGGCCAGTGACCTGACCCGGGCACTGACCTCAGATGTTTGCTTACTGCGCTCAGGTCATGCTCCGTAGACAAAAGAACACCCAAGCAAAATTTTACAATGGGTCCTATTGAGTTCAAACCAAATGTCACGAGACGACAGAAAGCATTTAGCGTGGGAAAATCGTGGCGCTACCACTACTTTTTATCCAAGATATTATTATTAGCGCTCGATTACACCACATCCCTTCCAAACACTATAATACTGTTCTAGACATGTGCCAAAAGCGAGCAGGATTTTACACAAGCCAGTCTGGGTAAACGGGACTGACTCATCGATCCATAGCGAGACACACGCGTGGCTGTGTAACGTGTAACGCCTGTGCGTGCAGGTGCGGCGGCATGCGCACTGCGTACTGCGTAGCTCGCAGTGTCTGTGACCCCGTGCGACCAAAACGGTCGAAAGGGGAAGTGTAGCATGGGTACAGAGATCTCGGCTTTTAGGCGAGACAACCACGCTTGACAGGGCATCTCCCTCATCGAGACTTGAGCATATATGCTAGAATAGTGGAATGATCAATGATCATACTCGTATATGATCACCAAGTGGAGCGTAGCATCAATCCCCAAGGCTTCTGTTCTATTCAATTTTAAAAGTTATTTTATTTCTCTCCCTGTCTGGTTCCTCCATTCGTCATTAGCGGCACGCGACGTGGAGGCGGAAGCGTCCCGTGTAGAGAGAGTGTGGGAGCGGATGGAGAGAGGGGCGGAGCGCCGGCTGGCACCGTACGCTCAAGGTGACCCCGGCGCGCGGTCCGCCCGCCCGGGACCACACAGGGAGGGGAGGGGGAGGGGCGGGGCGGCGCCGAGTACACCTGCACTCGGCCACAACACACCAAACACGTGGCGTGTGCGCAGGGGCGGCACCAGCGGAAACGTCTCGGGAGGGGGCAAAGAATCAGCTCGTCCTTAGTGAGGATTTTACGAATGACACGGGTTCAACAAAAGTTTAAAAAAAAATGTACCCGTGAGACTGGTATCGTAAGGTCTATCCATAAGCAAACATTCTAAAAACCATAATAAACGACAAGGATTCTGAGCTGCCCCCCTTGTCATCACAGATGCCTATGGCTAACGCCAATGTCCTGTCTGTGATGTCTGTGATGTCACAGGGGGGCGGGGTCACTACCACGGAGGAATGCACACCGTCTTCGGGAAAACCCAAACTACATAGACAGCAGACATCGACAGACCACAGAAGACAAAACGGCAAAAAAACAGGTCACGTGCAGGTACACCGGTCACAACATTTAATTCCACATTCCAAATAGTGGACACAACTAAGACCATCTTGAACGCGGCATTGCAATCTTTCACGTATTGGGAGAAGACAAAAGAACGAACAAAACATAATCACAAGAGGCAGGACAGATCTCTACCACTGTAGTCAATAATCAAGCATCCCTATACCCACCTCCATCCCCACCCATCCCACCAGGCATCCCCAAGACCCAGCCACCTACCTTGACGACGTGTGATGCGTCCGACCCAGACTCTCAAAGCTAGCCGCGCGACCCTCGGCAAAGCGTTCCCCCTCTAGCCTCTTGCAGGGTGGCTCTTCATTACGGTCGCCAGCCTCTCGCCGGGGGTCGACAATGCCACCGGCGTGTACTGAACCGAGCAGGTGAGAGGTCACAGCAGACTGGATTGATTTGTCGACACGTCTGAAACAAACGAAAAGATTATGGTTAGATGAGAGGCCCGAATGAATTCCGAATGAATGGATTGACTTGGTTAAGACGAACGGACATAGCGCCTTTTCATTGCTATGGGTAATGTGTGTGGCTGCGGACAGGACAGCCGGTAAACAATGAAAAAAGTTGCCTGTTCTGTAACATATGTGCCCGGACCCTGGGTGCAAGGCCAGATTCTTATGTTTCAGATTTTCTGTTGATTTAATCCGATAGTCATCGCAGACTAAAGTGATTCCAAAATGCACTAATGCATTAGTGAAATTACTTAGCGCTTTGTCCCGCTAATTGTGATTAGTCTGGGTTCAATCATACTAACCAGATCCATTGATTGCTTTAATCACGAAAGTCTGCCTCGAAATCATTTTGATGGGGCTCATTCCTGTAGCTAATGAGCGGTTTTGGCGACCTAAGCCCATAACCATGTGATACGGTCCACAATTATACCGCCTACTAACAACGTGGTCTCGAAAGCAGCACGCCACACTCGGGAACTCAAAAGAAAGTTCGTGGCTTCGATGATTTTGAAGTATCGAACAAGACTTTCAACGAATCCTAAATCATGTCAACAATAAAGATGAATATTACTATACAAACTTAAATCACCAAATCAAGGTAAGCGACTCATTTGAGATACATCTTACATAAACATTCATTCATCGAAGCGGGTCATTCACCCCAACATGCGTACCCAGCGCTCAATCCGTGTAAATGGATCCCATGGGCCCTTTACTCATGTCTACATCCGATTGCTGAAGGTTGGCTCGGCTCTGGCGCAGTGCCCAATAGTTGATGCTCAATGCTCATGTCTTGTAGTCTCAGAATTACCGTCGTTTAACGCGCTTCTCGCTCCCAAAATAGACACCTAATCCGCCTCCAGTAGTCCCCAGATGCACCGAGTGCAGTTCGGTAAGAGCAGCCTCCGACGGTATCACCCATACATTCAGTGACCCGACCCATACAGCTAACACGATTACTCGGAAGGTCATGACCTTTCTGGGTACCCCGAACGCCCCGGGCTAGAGCGGGGTCAATCGACCTAGCCCGGGGCGATCGAACTTGGCCGGGAGGTCGTGCAAACAACGGGGACGATCTGGGTCACATGTATCACCTGACCTGAGACAAACAGTGAGATAGCGAAGAGGGAGAGGAGGAGGACAGCTTCTCGCAAGCGGAAGTTGGCATTATTAGACACCAGCAAATGCGTGGTCATACATTCCCCCCCCCCCCAAAAAAAAAAAACGGTTTATTAAATATTAATCATTTGATGGTTTCCTCCAAAGGTTTCATCAACAAGCAATGCTCTAGAGAAAGAAGCCCTCCCAGTTCTAATTTCGGATCAAATTCGTCGCACATGGTAAAAGGTCCACTCCATGAACCAAAATAGGATCTCGAGGTCCTTCAACTCTTCTCTCAAGATAGCGCGAGTCCAACTCGGTCAGTGGAAGATTACAATAACCTCAACCGCAGCCACGCACGGCCTATTATCCGTCTGCGCAGCGTCCACAGCCAGACCCAGCCCCGTTACCGGTCACTGACTTGCAATACCGTCTTTCTCAATGGGGCAGCCGCATTCCTCGGCGCCTACTTTCATCTTCAACGATCAGGGTCGTTCCTGCGTACTTTTCCAGGGGCTCGCGCTGGGGAATGGAAAAGTACCGCTCGCGCACGCCTTCCATGACCGCGCCGGCGACGGCGGTGCTGGCGACCGCTCCAACGCCCAGTATATCGATCCGACAACTCCACGGTGGCTGGCGGACAGACTTGACAGCCGCCGCCGCCTCTGAAACGCCCACGGGGTCCGGCAGGACGCCAGGAGCCGCAACTTATCACCGGACAGTTCTAGACAGAGCTCCAACAACAACACATAGCAAATCTCTCCATCTGGGGCATCGAGGAGCCGCGACCCTCACAATAACGGAACGCCAGTGCATGGCCAGACGGTCGTTAGACGTTAGGCTTAGTCGGCTTAGACCTTGGCCTCGAATTCCACAGAGGCCCGTAGTTGATTGACGGCGGATGAGCAGTAGCCAGTTCCTACACCCCCACAACGGTGGCAGCCAAAGGCATCGTTTGAGGCTCTAGTACCCCCACCCCAACCCTCGGCACCCCTCTTCAAGGCCGACTCGTTTAGACGATGGCCCTGAGCACTCGGCGAAGCATTGTGGGCGACCTTGGCGATCAAGGTCGGTCCAAATAGCAGGCGAGTTTGGCTGGAGCGAGTTTGGCTGGAGCAGCCCCGCAGCTGCAGCTGCAGGGCCTTGGAAAGGGGAGCGCGGAGGCACTCTCGTCCGAGTTATTGCTGGAAGGAAAGATATTGCCAGGTTGCATGGCAGTGCTTCGCACATGGACTCACCATGCTCACTGACTGGCATCCACATAGTCCCGTGCTAGTAGTAACATTCTGGTGCATTGACACGAAGATGTATATCGACTTAGCGCAGCGAACTGCACCAATGGCGTTGTCAAAAGTAGGTGCCTAGCTTCCACCGAAGCAGCGAATAAGATTACACCCGCAGCCACAGCCCCGTGGTTTTCAACGGGAACTGCCAGCAGCTGCGAGGCAAAATAGAGACATGCATAAATTTATGCATGTTATGCATGTCGGCATTCTTTAAAGAATGCCGACTGGCGACCACGTTGAAATCACAACCGCAATGGGATACAGGAAACGGACCGGTAAACCCCACGAAAGATGTCTATGGCGGTGATAAGTTATCGGGTAGAGGCATGAAGGGCACACAAATTACGAACGCGTCAAAAGGTACCGTAAAGTGGGGGCTATTTGAGACAGTGGGGCTATTTGAGACAGTATTTAAAATCGCTATAAAATGAAGAGCGTTTGATTTTTATATGATATTTTTGTTCAGGAAGGTGTGAAATCAAGCAGTAAATCGCCTGAGCAAAAATTAAGCATAAATTTCAAACGGTTTTTATTTTATAACAGTTTTAATTACTGTCTCAAATAGCCCCACTGTCTCAAATAGCCCCACCTTACGGTATGCGATTCAGGAACAGCAAATGCTGATGTATGGAACATCAAATGCTTAAAGCCTAGCGTCCGTGATTTTAAAAGAAAATCACTGCATGTACACAATTCATTATGAAACAACACTCCCTTATAGCATCAATTTCCACATAAAAATGCTCCGAAACTCATAAATATTCAATATAACGAAACAGCAATGCGTTCATCCTCTGAATCTCAAAGGCACCAGGAACAAGTTCTTAACTGCAGACTATTTGATCACGGCACATCAGTTCTCAAGTAAAGCGATAAGCCTTTCTCGGAACCGCCTGGATACATTTCCCATGTGAACCAGACCTCAGTGGCTTCCAAAGGCCAGTAAACCCTGGTACACTGGGTCTCCAAAGCCAGGCAGGTGTCCCGGGCTGGAGCGGCCCGGGATATGGGCACCGTTGCAGCGCGCAGCAGAGTGCAAAGGTCACGGAAAGTTCAGGGGCTGCGGCCAGCCAGCCAGGTAGGGTGACCTTAGACAGGTACGGTAGTGATGTTATAAGGTCGCACTTGAACTGCACATTGACCAGAACCTAGCGAAAAATATTCTTTTCAATCAAAGATTCTTTATCATCATTGGACATTGTTCGCTTTGTGAAAGAACAATGCTAAATGGCATCAGCCTTGACAATGCCTATATTTATCCCATTTCGACTAGCCACGAATATTTGAAATTCATTTGAAAAGGAGCGCTGCAATACTTGGAATGGTTGCAAGCTATGCTAATTCAATCGCATTGAACGATATTGTTCAGCCCGCATTCACACCTGTCACAACACAGCACGGAAGTGAAATGTGCAGCTGCCACGTCAAAGAGCCGCTGGTTCTGCCCAGGAGGTAGTGATGGACAGTGGACACAAAGACATCACGATGCACATGCATAATAAATCAGAGCTGGGGCGTTCCAATGCAACATTATTGGGGATTTGGTCCAGCCGATGCAACTTAGAACACCCCTGTCCGGGTACCGGGGACACAGAAGATGACCGAATGACCCTCAGACATGGATGAATGACCATACAAGTTGGTCAACTCGTCAGAAAAAAAAATACTAACAAACAGGAATGCCATCAGCCAGTGGAAAACGAGAAACTATGCAACCACACAGCATCCCTTCAATCGATCAATCATACCGTAATAGGAGGTGTACTACGACAGAAATAGAAACATTTACAGGCAATGATAGAACAAGGAAGATGAATATTCTCCATTGTTTTCACATTAGCCTTTTAGTTTGGCAAACACTCCAAGGACGCAATGACAAAAAAATCACTGCAAACATATCTTATGACAAAGGAATCACTACAAACTTATCCGATGACGAAGGAATCGCTGCAAACTTATATCACCTGGCAAAAGTACTATACGGGTGGCAGTACATTAGACATTATATCACTGCAACAGTGCAACATGACTGAGGCCGTAGTGCAACGCAATGATGCGCATCGATCGACAAGCTTTGTGAGAACGAACCATTGGCCGTTTGGCGGCAGGTGATTCATCTTTTGCGCAGCAGACCACGGACAACATATACGTGTGTTGATGAGGTCGTTACAAGCATGCGATCGTGATGTTACGTGGACTAAAGCTGCATCAAAGCGATGTTCCGTAACAGTTACAGATCAGAGTGCTTAATGATAGAACAGGCTTGTCTATTTCTTGGATGACTTTGGAAATAAGTACATACATCTTTTTTACGGTGGCTCTGTCCTTGTGAGGTCTTCCATGCAAAAGGTTCAGGCTAAATGTATTTTGAATAACCTTACAAAAGGCAGAATGATAATAAACTGTCAAGATTTATATGTACGTCTTTAACTATCCATTGGCGCTCACAATAAGATTTCTTATTTTTGGATGTCACATTTCCATCCTAGCTAAGCCAGTTAGATGCCCCTATAGCTCGATATATGATTATAAAACTACTCAGGACGGGGATGTTCTGGGGTTCGTGGGA